TACTTCGCAAACTGGGAGGTACCCCCTAACATTCTAGTTATTACAAAAAAGGAAGTTATTCCCCTGTGTCAAAAAACAATGCCGGATACAGTTGATATGTAAGAAATGTTGGTGTGGAGGACGGGAAATGTTCATTTCCCTTAGGGAGAAAGATTCACTGGCAGTAAAGCTCTCAGCATTATTTATGAGGGGCCCAAAGAAAGGAATTCTAGGGCCTGTGAAACTGCTTTCGAGTCCTTTGTACAACCCAGTGCCTGCTCCAGAAGCAAAACCACACACAGGAAAAGAAGGGATCTTCCAGAGGTAGCACCGCACCCTCTGCAGCATGTTCTAGAAATGCAGATCCCTGATTCCCACCTGGACCTGCCTGGCAGAGCCACTGGGCAAGACTCAGGCTCAGCCAACTCCCCAGCAGGTTATAATGCAAACCAAGCTTTCGGAACCATTGTGCCGCTGAGTAAAACTGACTCCACCAGCAAGAAATGAAGCTAGGATTTAATTTTTCATTTATTTTTTAAAATGAGGGCAATGCAAAAACTTAAAAACAGGAAAGCAGACTAAGGCCCACTGTCCCATCAATATACAACACACAGAAGCCGTACTGACATTTTGACATAGTGCTGACAATTTCATTAACACCCTTATGAAGGTTTTTAAAATATAAATTTACATGATGTCACCCAGAAGAAGGATCTTTGTTCACATAAAGGAACAGTGTTTGTTTGCATGGTTGCCTAATGAATGTCAGGGTTCCCCGAGTCTGCAGAGTAAAATGTAGGTAACTCCATGAGCAGGCTTTGGTCTCAACACAGCTTTACCAGAAAACCGTCTTCCTTCCTGAAGTTTTGCTTAGAAACCTCAAATTGTTTATCACCTGAAATCTTTTCTACCAAATTTATCACAGTGATGGTGGCGGGGGCGGGGGTGGTGAATTTCCACAGCAAGACTATTTTTGTTTTATAAAATTGAGCCACAGGGTGGTCCCTTTCTCACTGTGCCCAAGACAGCAGCTGCTTTGATCAGAGGTACGCACAAGTCACACGTCCCCACTGCTAGCCTATCCCTCTGCAGGGAACCACGCATTGCCAGTGACTCTCAGCTACGAGCTACCGGGCAGCATTTCCACGTCAGACCCATTGTTCCCATGGGTTTCCTATAAAGCTAGGGATGTTTGGGCCCCGTGAGAGCTTTGGATGGGAGACCACCTAGGAATGCTGAGTGCTGTGGATTTCTTAAAACACACAGCACAAGGCATCAACCATGGCTTCTTGACTAATGTGGACATGTTTCCTGCCTCAACTGTCCTGAGGGAGACATCTGTTTCTCAAATACAGCCCAGCTTTGGTGGGATTATGCTTGGCAATTTTTCTGGTGTTTCTGTTTTCTTGCCCTTTCTTCCCTTGACTCCAGACTAGCAAATGTGGAGCGAATGATTGGATCAGAGCATCATGTTTTGTAGCCCTTAATGGAAACATTTGCTGAAGTCCTGGTGAGGAATTGATAGAGGAGCTGAGGACCGCCTGAAACCTGAGCTGTCTCAGCATCCCTAAAATGGTGTAGCTAGACATTGGGAACCTCCCGGTAGGATGCAACCCAGAGCACACTTCATGCCCGGGGAAGTATTCCTACCAGAAGAAGATGAGCCTGATTCTAAGGGGGCCTAGGGAGTTCACTCAATGGACAAGAATGAGCGCATGCGAGAAATAAGTCACGAACCATCACAAAGAAGCAAAATCCAAAATGCAGAACATTCTATAAGACTGAACCATGCAAAGTTGGGGCCCAGTGGTCCGCTTAGAGGACATACAAGGGCACAGGAACTGTGAGTGGTGTACAGACCTTGTCTGACATCCAGGCAGGATAAACCAAGCACAGAGCTGGGTTGGCGATGACGGCTAGAATTTCATTACGGATTGGCTTAGGTGGCTGGACGGTTAGAGGATACTGGGGAATTATGGCTGGTTTTGTTAGCTTGGATAAAATGACCACATGATCATGGGAGACAATGTTTCATATTTAGAGCGGGGTGCAAAGTGGGGGAGTTGAAATCATTTGCTGGGAGTCATCCCCTTATTTTATTCCAAAAGATTCCACTTGCTTGTTTCTAACAAAAAGATTTGTTATCACATAGTTCAATCAAGAGAAATTTCAAGATAATTATTGAACCTGGGTGATGATCAGAGGAGGGCTCATTACACTCTAGCATATTTTTAAACATCTCATAAAAACAATTTTAATCTAAGCAATCCCACCTTCGTCGTCCTCCTCGCACCTGGCTGGTGTCCCTCCCAGGTGAAGTGGTTTCTTCTTGCCGATCTCACAAAGCAGCTGCCGGGCCCCCACCCTCAAAATTCTGCTGACACTGGGCTCCTGTGCTTCACGGCACTGCCCCCCCCCATAGAGTAGATTCCTCCACCTGCTTCTGCGCCTTCTGCTATGCCTGGCCCAGGATGCAGTTGGCAACGATGAATGTTTGTGACCAGATACGGGAACAAAATACAGAGCCCGAGGGGCCATGGGGCTGTTGAGCGCGGCTGGGGTCGCAGTGCTGGGGCAGAGGGGAGACGGCGTTGGCGGCTCACGGCAGGCTGAGCTGAGAGATGGGAAGCGGGTTCTGGCTCGCACCCTGGCCTCCTCTTTAACTTGGCATCGTAGGCCAAAGCTCCACTTTGTGCATCAGTGAGATGATGCAGCGCTGTGAGTCCATCAGGGAGAGGACTTGGGGCGCCGGGCGCGGCCTCTCCTCCCTACACCACTACACCCACAGGAAGCTGGCATCTCAGCATGGCTGCCAGCTCCAGGGTGAGCCCAGCTTTCTCAGTGGGCTCACACGTCCTACCTGGATGCTACCCACCTGTATCTGGCAGGTCGGTCAGGAGGTGAATCTTTCAGCTAATAGCATGGCCAGGATTCCAGGTCCCAGGCTTAGGAGTCGATCAGAACCGGATTTAGGCTGGTCCCATGGCTCACTAGCCACACGACAGTGGCCAGGGGCTCAATGTCTGCAAGTCTCACCTGCAGAAAAGGGGCTGCTTCACCTGCCGACAGCCACTAGGAAGCTGTGGCCACCTCCAGGTGTGGGAGCACACGCCTATGATTCCTGCACTTGGGAGGCTGAGGTAGGAAGATTGCTACCCGTTCGAGGCCAGCCTGAACTATATGGTGGTTCAAGGCACCATAGTGAGAACTATGTCTCAAACACCCCCCCAAAGGGGACTCCTTAGATATTTACTATGTCTAGGCATGTTCTAAGGTACACTGATAACATGTAATTCCAGTTCCATCTTTATAACACTCAAGGGGTAGAAATTATTATTACTCTGAGTTTAAGAGACAGAAATATGCAACACTTCACAAAATGGCCCAGCCAGGACTCCAGCTCCATACTCTTGTCTTCTGTGCTGTGTTCCCAAGGACATGCTTGGGTTCTGGAGCAGCCAGTGCCCGTGGGTCCCACCCTGGCCTCCCTTCCAGGCACCGCCAGTCCCTTCAGCCCCCAACATCAGCCCTCTGCCCCCAAAGGAAAAGCAAGGGGCCCCAGCACACCCTAGGCCCTTGGCCACCCTCGGCCACCCTCGGCCACCCAAGCTCCACAGATTGCCCAGTAGTTGACATGCTCCTGGAAATATGTGTAAGTATTATGTTCAGCAAAATGAAATTAATAAAAGAAAAATCTCTATTTGTGTAGTGCTCTACTTGTTCCTTGCCTGTCTTCACCCTCATCTTGCGTGGTTTGCCTGACCACTGTGTGAGCTGGACACAGGCTGTCGGTCCTGGACCGGAGAACCGCATTTGCTATCCATGCGCCAATTTAAAACACTTTCCGCGTGTGGAGTTTAGACTCCATCGCTTCCACAGACGGCTGAAAATTCCCAGGCGCCGAGAGAGGCTGCCCACCTTCCAGCAGCTTAGCTGTGCCAGGACAACTCTTTTCTCCTGTGCGAGATTGTTTTAGTACTTTGGAGCACTTTCTCCTTACTTTACACAGATAACTGTGTCCTCAGTCTTGGAACAGGCATGGTCAGACTTCTGCGAAAGGCACTGAAGTAGGTGGTAGAGATCTGACAAATAGGCCAAGAGACAGTTAAGAATGTTAGAACCTGAGTTAATTCTGCAGATGAAGAAGTGCCCCTTCCCCACCAACACAGGAGGCCATTTGTTTTGAGCCCTGCTGCCCTGAACTCCCGACTACCCTCACTGGACCAGGGATAGGGAGAGGTTGCTGGGACCTCAGCCTGGAATTGCAGAGTGACATGGGCTCTCCAGAGCGCCCCATCCCAGCTCCTTCTCCCGAGGTTCCTCCTCTGGACAAGCGGGCTTCGCACCAGGCAGCAGCCCTGCAGGGGAGATGACAGGGAAGCTGAATTTGAGCTTGAACTTGGGCCAGGGCCACGCACACACCAGCTTTGGGCAGCGAGCATGGTGCTGGAGGCAGGCGGTGCCCTCTGTCTCGGAGCAGAGCTCCGCCGCCTCCAGCGTGACCTTCACAAGCCTCCCTACCTCTCTTTCTCCAGCTGCAAAAGAGGATAATTGTAGCTAATCTATGGATGCTGTCATGAATATCGAAGGTTTATAGATGTCAAGGGCTTCTTAACCATAACATGCTGGGCAAATATAAATAAAAGGCTTCTCGTCTCTATTTTTAGCTGTTTCCTCCACCACATCCCCTGCTGGCTGAGGCTGTCTCAGACTCTGAGCGCCTCCCCAGGGGCAGCTCGGACTTCCCTGTTCCCGGGGGATGTGCACAAGGGTCTGGTTCACTTCAAATCTTCCCCTCCTTCTGCCACCTCTCTCACCACACACACGTGCACATGCATGCTCTCTCACATATATGTAAAAACACAAGCCCAACGCACACACCTGTATGCACACACATGAGGGCATACCCACGGTGCATGCCATGCTTGCTCTCTCCTCTGCCTCACTCACATGTGCTCATGCACAGGCCCACACGCCCACACGCCCACACGCCCACACTTTCTTCCACCCTTCCCCTCTAGGAAGGAGGCCAGTGTGGGCTCATCGAAGTGAAGCCCCCTGGAACCCCTGGCCGGCACGTGTCCCCTCTGATTCCCAGCGGACTCCTGCACTTCCTGGCTCCACCCAACCTGAAAGCATGTGGGGGCAGCCTGTGCCCCAGTCACAGTGCTAGTTGTCACAGAACCTCCGAGCGACTTCTGTCTCCAGTCAGAGCCATTCGTGTGGAAGGACCCATAGAGAGCCCAAGTTCAGTGTCCCTCAAAGCTGTGGAATGCCATTTGTACGGACGCCGCTAAGGAGTCCAAGGACACAGAAACGTAAGTAAGGCATCGATTAATTTCCAAAATTTTACTTTCTGTCAGGTCTTTAACTGTTCACTTGTGCGACGTGGACATAAGTGTCTGCTTGGGAAGTTTAGAGTTGGTGGCAATATGGCAACTGGCTGGAGGAAGGCAATGGGACTGGTCACTTGGGCAGGCGCAGCAGAGGTACCGAGTTCAGAGAACGTTCTGGAGGCTGTAGCCTACAGCCCTTCATTGAGGTGGGGAGGCTGGGAGAGGTCAAGAAGGCCACACTGGCCTTTGTCATAAGCTAGGGGCTGGCCTGGCTCCAGGTCACATGCCTGTGTGCTGCTGCAAATCATGCACATTCTCTTTTCATTTTTATGCTTGTACCAATAATATATGCTTACTACTTAAAAACTCAAGAAATGCACAAATTCGTGAGAAAGAAAAGTAACATCACCTGAAGTCCTCTCACCCGAGGTAAACAATGTGAACATTTTAGGAAACAACTTTTTTGAGGCACTGCTTTGCATTAACACCCACACACACAATTTTAAAAACTTGCCCTTTTGGCGGGTTTCATCTCTGCTTTTGTCTCTCCCTCCCCTGCCACCACTACTGCCGGTAATCAAAATAACCAAATACTGGAAAAGAACTGGGTGTTCATCCTCCCCTCTAGCTCTGCAGGTCATATGCAAACACGCGCTGGTGCCTCCAAATGTGGGGTTGCTCCAGTACTCCTAGGGTCTCTCCTTCCAACACTTTGTAGAGATTCTACTTCCCCTCACTGGTAAAGATCTAGCACATTCTTTTTAAGAGTTACATAATATTTTAGAGAGTTTTAGTGTACAGATTTCTTCAACAGTTCCCTAACTGGTGAGAAGTTGTATTACTGAATTTTGTTGGGAGGGTTCTGTTTTTTTTGCTGCTACAACTACTGCCATACTAAATATTTTTATATCTGGTTTTCTCCCATATAGTAATGTTTTATGAATCTGAAAGACCCTGAATGAAATTGTAAATCAAAAGTATGTGCATTTTTCAATTTTAACAGAATCTAAGAGATTTATTTTGAGCTGGGCATATGGTTTGGTGTTACAGTGCTTGCCTAATAGGCACAAGGGCCTGGGTTCAATCCCTAGCACTGGAAAAATAAACACTAAAGCAATGAAAGATTGCGCTCTACAAAACTGGTGGTGTGTGTCATTTTATTTGCTTGATAAACGTTTATTAAACACACATTCTGAACCAAATACTGCTTTAGCCTTTTGGGTTCAACAGGGAAAGTAAAGACCCCAGTTCTCACAGAGCGGTTACACTAGAAGTAGCGTGGGGGAGACAGACGAAGTCCTAATACCTAGAAAAAATACTCTTCCATCTAAAATGTGCGCCTACAATTTTCCCTTGCTTTAGCATGAACTATTGGCATTTTGTTCTATTTACCTATTTATTTTACTAGTCTAAAGTGATCTAATATATTTTATTATCTTAATTCATCTTTTGTACTTCGTAAATAATATTTTTCATGTGTTCACTTTGCTAGTTGGGTTTGCGTTTCAGGAACTCCCTGTTTATAATTTTTATATATTTTCTACTGAGTGGATTGGTGCTATGCCGTATTCCTTGCCTGGCTTCATGAGTTCTGAATGTATTGTAAATAGACACTTTTCTGCCTTGTGCTTTACAAATCTGTCCCCCCAGTCTATTTTCACTAACTTGATGAGTTTCTTTTGCCAGACAATAGCTCAACGTTTATGAGTTTGTGCACATCTTGTTCTCTCTTACAGTCTAGCTATTCTATTTTTGTTAACAGCTGTCTCCAAATTTGGGCTATATTTCTTACATTTCTTCCAGTAAAATTTTTAAAAATATACAGTAATACCTCGGTTCATGAACACTTCTGTTCGTGAACAACTCAGTTTGCAAACAGAAGCATTTGGCAAAATTTTTCTTACGTTTGCAAACTCCATACTGGGTGACAAACAGGAATTTGGTCATCTTCCCCAGAATCCTGGAATGAATTAAGTTCGTGAACTGAAGCAACACTGTATTTTAAGTACACATGGATTTTTTTTCAAGCTGGGGATCAAACCTAGGTCCTTCCACATGCCAGGCAAGTGCACTACTCCTAAGCAATGTTTCTAGCTCTGTTTTTTAATGTATGAAGTAGTGGTTCACTTTCCCCATATTATATACTAGAATAAGCCATCATGCCAGGGATAGAGCTCAGCAGCATAGGCACCTGCCTGGCAAGCGCAAGGTCCTGAGTTCGATTCCCAGTACCAAAAATAAAATAAAATAAAATAAGCCATCAATTTTCAAGTGAATTAAAATAGCCTTTTTTCATACATGCAACTCTCATATTATCAGTGTCTGTTTGCATGTTTATTATTCTATTCCACTGGTCATGTTTATTCTCATTCTAGTTTCACGTTATTTTAATTATAGTCTTCTTTTTCATAATTTTAAAGCTAGGGTTAAGACTTTATTTGGTCAGGTAAAATTTCTGATAATCATATCCAATTAAAATTTTAAATTATATTCTAAAGTACATTCAATTCATTTTAGTTTTTTTTTGTTTTTGTTTTTGTTTTTTCTCTGGTACTGGGAACTGAACTCACGACCTTGCACTTCCCAGGCAGGCGCTTTGCCGCTGAGCTAAATCCCCAGCCCTCAATTCATTTTAGAACAAGAAAGAAATCTTAAGAAAGAGAACAGATTAAAATAGTTACAAGAACAGATTAAAATCATTACATAAAACTTAATGGCCACAAAGGAGTAAAGTAGAAGGAATGGAAGATCTCTGCAAATCACCAAAATGGCGCATGAAGGAGGAAACATAGGACTAGGCTACTTCTTAGAGGAGAAACTGGAAATGTGTTTCAAGATCTACTATGTGAAATGGCCCCAGAAACAGATGAGCTAATGCCTGAGTTCTACCCATCCTTTAAAGAGGATAGAATTCTAATGTTACTAAACTACTCAGGATTGTAGAATTAAATTAACAAGATGCCCAGAACACCTAACCACTAATGCCTCATACACAACTCCCTCTTCAGAACAGAGATTCTTGTTCTAATAAGGTATTACTGGGATCAGTAGGTAGGATCCATTGCTGTGTCAAAAAAGACTAATCTGGTGTAACCAGCCTTTTAACCCTTGAAATCTACAAATGATGTTAACAGAAAATTTACCAACACAATTAATTCACTACATCGACAAACTAAAGAAGTAAAATGATCACATTAATAGATAACAAATAAGCACCTGTTAAAATTCAGTAACTATTCCTCATACAAACCTGCAATGCCATGTCCAAACTTCTAAAATGAAAAATTTCTGAAAACTGAAGTGTTGCTTGTCATTTATAATTACCACCATAGTTCACTGGTGGTAATGCTGATCTGCAATAATGTAAAGAAATACTGAATATAAAAAGAATCGTATTGTTCGTTAAAACGTAAAGCGTGTTCTGTGAGCAAGGCATGCTCAAAGTAAACATATGGTGGATTAGTTACTGTGGCTGTCTGTCCTCTACTCAAAATTATTGTAGTCTTCTTTTGTGAAGGTGAGTTGGAGGAAAAATCATGTGAGGAACGTGCTTCCAACTCCTCAGAAGAAATGTATCACTGAGCTTTCTCCAATCCAAGGCTATACTGGGAGGAAGCTAGCACTTATTTCATGTATCACTAAAAGCAAAAAATCTTATAGTAATTGCATTATGAAGCATCATGAGTTGTAAGACACCGTCTGGTTTCAGAGATGTCGAAATGTAAAAAGAGGGGTATCTCAGAATTGGCGAAATACGGTATCTATACCCAAAGGGCATGTCAGGTCAGATGTGAGCACGCGGGTGTGATGGTCTCGGCTTGGACTGGACTCCAGGGCCAGTGCGGCACTGGCTATGAGCTGGCTGTGGACAGGCCACTTACGGTTGAACGTCAGCCTCCCTGAGCAGTAGGCTGGGCACAGTGTGGTGAGGCGCTGGTGCTGGTGCCGTGGTCTCTGGGGTCTTCCCAGATCCCCCATACTGATTCTCTACCCAAGAACAAACTCGACCTACTTTTCTCACCCTAAACAAGAGTCTCAGTATTGCAGGGAAGCAGTGGGTGCCCTTGGGTGTCCGCACCATCTATCAGTCTGTCCTATGTGTAAGGTGTCTCAGCTGAAGAACCTGCTAGAACCTCCGACTGTCCTAACAAAGCCTCGTCATCTTCAAAGCAGCCTGTAGCCCAGAGAGGAGATGTGACTTCCCCAGCCGCCCACCCGCCCAGTGGCAAAATGAGACTAAGACCCAGGCCACCCGGCTGGACCCCAGCAAGACTGCCCTGCCTGGGTTCCTGCCCCCAGAGGTCGGGGACCCTCCCAGAAGTCTCTGGCCCTTGTGTCAGGCCTGATGACTTGTGTCCTAAACACAGTCATTTCTCCTCTCTGAGCCACTTAAAACTTAGGGACACCCGCCTAGCTCGCCAGCCTCTAGTAACCACACTTCCTCATTGGCAGGGGCCAGGGGCTCCTCCCTGCAGGCCGTCTGAGGATCCGAAGGAAGCTCGCCGGCGCCTGCTGTGTGCTGTCCCGCAGGATGGGGCTGCTGAGCAGCAAGAGGCAGGTCACCGAGAAGGGCAGGGGCTGGAGCCCCGTGAAGACTGCGTCCCAGGGCCAGACGCCCCCACCGCTGCCGCCCCTGGTGAGTGAGCCGCCCTTTGGGGCTGACACGGGGCTTCCCGGCCCAGCCCCCCTGCAAAGACTCTTCCCAAAGACGCTCGTTTGAGACGGCTGTGCCCCCTGCCCCGAAGCCTCTTTTGGTTTGGGCAGTGGGTCCCATCCTGAACCCCTGTTCCGCCCTGCCCACCCCCATGGGAAGGTCCAAGCAGGCATCACCACACTCTAATGGGGACCCACTGGGGGCAGAGACTGCAGCTCCAGTTTCCTGTCTTAGGAGCCGAGCCCCAGGTTAGCACAGGGCCCAGCGCAGAATCAGATGACTGCTGAATGAATGGGTGGCCCAAGGGGCAGACTCAGACAGCTTGAGGAATTTCCTCAAAGCTGCAGCCTAATAAGTAGTAGCTGGGCATTTTTAACTTTACAAAGCCACATAATATATACTAATTATGGAAAAATGATAATGCCCCATGATCCCACCTCCAAGGACACACGGAGTCAGCTCTTCAGAGCTCCCGACCCCAGCCCCTTTTCTATGCGTCCTTTATGTCTTGGGTTCATGCTTCTGAGGAAACCATATCATGTATGCCTCTTGCAAAAGTCTGTCTCAAAACTGTGTCCAGTGAGCACGGAATTTAAGAAAGGAATAACCACAGGTCAGGTTGAAAGACAATAAAATAAACACGTACAGGGCTTGGCCACATCCCGTCCTCAGAGATAGAAAGGGACTCATTCCTTGGAAACTCTGCTTGCCTCGGTCTGTCCCCTACCCCAGACCCCCATAGTTTAAACCTGCTTACCATTCTTTACTTTTTCATAGCATCTCTCTCTCACACACATGAGCTCTATATCTTCATTATTTACATTGTGAACTTCAAGTACATTGATTCCAACAGCAGGCATTCTTCTGACACTAGGGTTGAGTCCAGCATTACATTTGTGAAGCTCACCCGCATGGATGTCTAAAGCTTCCGCTCATTCATTCCGTGGTCTGACTGTACTACAATCGGTCTGTCTCTGCCTTGGGCCATAATGGTTATCTCACATTTTAAAATGTTTCATGCATTGCTATTACAGTGACCGCTAGGTGCGTGCTTACCATTTCCTGTACCCATGTGCAGAAGCTTGTCCACATCGTGTACATCTATGAATATGTTTGTTGAGTTTTAGGAGCTCCTGCAGTCAGCCTTGCCCAAGCTACAGATTATGAAACTAACTCACAGTGTGTCTTTCTTCCCAAGGTTGTCTTTAATCACCTTACCCCTCCACCTCCTGAAGAATACCCAGACCAAGGTAAGAAGGGGACACCTGCTCCCCGGGGCCCCAGCTTTGTGGAGTTAGATCAGGGACAGTCATAGTGAACCCTTTAGAGTTGGAGAGTAGTGCTGGGGGAAGCTGGCTAGGCTGGCTCTGTCCCTGGCTTCGAGTGCCCCTTGGGTCTCTCCAGGAACCAAGCATGAGTCCTTCGGTGTGCTTGAGCCTGTGGGATTAAAACCAAGACTTTACACTCTAGAAACCAGAGTCACAGGAGGGACAGGCAGCCTCACCCGCCCCAGCTTTCAGACTCTTAATGCCCAACTCAAGGGCAAGTGCTCCCCTCTTCCATGTGGGGAGTACCGTTGTGTCTCCCCATCCCAGCCACCCTCCTGGTCCCCAGACTCCACTTCCGCTCTGGTGGGCAGGAGGCTGGTGGTGACACAATGCAGGGTCACAGCTGTCCTGCTCCAGGAGCTCAGACCTCAGCGGCCTCCCAGGGTGGGCCCTGGCTCAGAGCTGGCTCAGAACCAGCTCACCAGCACCGTGTCCCCCTCACACCAAGGAGGGCACGGAGCACGCAGCCCGCTCTGTCCTGGGGCTGCGGAGGCTGTGCAGTGGGAGACCCACGGCTCCTTCCCTGAGGCAGCCTTCCACCTCCCGGGCAGAGTGCCCGAGCCACTCGCACCCTCACCCAGCGTCCTTCTGGGGCACCGTGTGTGCTTCCTGAGAGGTACAGTTACATCTCCAAAGAGGAAGCACAGGGCAGGAATTGAACGGACTGCCTGGCAGGAGAACCTGAGTCTTAGCACCTCAGTGAAACACAGTCGTCCCTTTTCCGACCCGCTTTCTCGCTGAGGGAGGGGACAGGCCCAGGGTCACCCACTCACCAGCGACAGCACCGAGGTACCCACACTGGGAGGCTATGCGCTCTCCGGGGAGCTTGGCAGCTGGACAGACCTCAGTGGGGCTGTGGCCACGGATGCTGTGACGAATCTGGGCTGCAGCTGCCTGGTGCCAAGGTCCTCCCCCCTCGGGGACGGAGGGATGGAGGGACGGAGAGGAGGGGCAGGGAGGGGCCGGGGATGGGTGAGGCCAGATGAGGCAGCAGGCAGCGTGGTCCCCAGGCTCTGGTGGCTGCCATGGCGGCCCCCGCAGGGCGGCCCTTGAGTCTTTTGCAGCCCTAAGAGCATCCCCGAGGGGTTCAGAAGGGATGATGAGGCTGGGCTCTGAGGGGCGGCCCACTCCGGGAGACCACGCACGGTCTTGAGAATTTCCTCTTCAGAACAGCGGCCGAGAAGCTGCCCTGCCTCCCCTGTCCCTAACCCTCTTGGTGGCCTGAGGTGTGGGAGATGGTCTGAGGGGTATGGGAAGGTGGCTCCCATACCCGCTATCCCAGGCCCCGTCACACCTCCTAGGCCACAGCAGCAGACATTTCCCCTGCCCCTTCCAGAGGAGCGGTACGTGGTGGCCCTGTACGACTATGCTGCCGTGAACGACCGGGACCTGCAGATGCGGAAGGGGGAGAAGCTGCAGGTCTTGAAGGAGTGAGTTTCTTGAGTGTCCTCCTCGATGGGGTCCTGCAGGCCTCACCACACCCCAGCAACCTCAGCCAGGCACCCGGCTTTTTCTTAAACTTGACCCAGTTGCTGTGCCCTCCAAAGTCTCCCTGGAGAGGTGGTCCCCGTTCTGACATTCCCTTCGCTCCCTGAACCTCGCTGGGGTTCCCTCCAGCGTCACCTCCTCTGATCTCCCCAGGTGTGGCCTCCGTCCTGGCTCTGAACTCAGGGTGTGCGCACATCTGTCCCTCTGGAGGCGAATGCTTTCCGGGTCACTGCGCCTGAGGCTTGGTCTCGCTCCTGCCTTCCTCTCGGAGAGCCTGCAGCACTTGCTCTCTGAGAACTATAGCTCGACCCGTGCAGCCCGAGTGCCTGACTGTCCCTGAGGTCCCACAGTGTCCTCGCGTGAGCAGACAACTGCTCTGGGCTCTCACAGGTTCTTCCCCTTGGCACAGCCCTCCTGGGCCTGTTTGCCCAGGCCAGTCCCAACTCACTCTCGGAATTCCCATTTGAGGGAATAGAGGTAGAGGTGTGGCCCTCCTGGGCCAGCAGTCCATCTGGACCAATTCCCCCCTTCTGCCCTGGGGCTCCACCCCCTGGCCCACCCGCCCCTCTGCTAGGCATCTCCTCAGCCTGGAGCAGCCCGGAGGCGCCTGGGCCCCACTCCTACGCCTGTCTCCCTCTCCCCGCAGCACCGGAGACTGGTGGTTGGCCAAGTCACTCATCACCGGGAGAGAGGGCTACGTGCCCAGCAACTTCGTGGCCCCAGTGGAGACCCTGGAAGTGGAAAAGTAGGTGGACAGACAGAAGCCCTCTCAAGCCGAGGGGTGGCCACTGCCTCTGCCCCGCAGGCTGTTGGGTACTGGAGGCCTTGAGACTCCAGCAGGGGACCAGACAGGGACAGGGACTGAAGCACTGGGAAGGGATCATCCCAGCTCAGGATGACATCTGCACCACAGTGTGATGCCGAGGACGCTGCTCTTCCCACAGCAACAAGAGCATCCCTTTGCTGGCCCCTTGGATGGAACTGTCCCCAGTGGCCAGCGGCCCCCAGAGCTCACAGAAAGGCCTGCTGACCACTCCTCACGGCCTCCAGGGACAGGATCCAGGGCCACAGGGCTCAGGGTGCTGCCAGGGCCAAGGATTGCTCAGGTCCGGCTTCCCAGCACCCCCATGGCCACCTCCACACCCACCAGGAAGGGTCACCTCGGCCAGGCCAAGGGGCCCCATTCATTCAAGCAAGGCCAGGAGCACGTGGCCCACAGCAGCTCTGTCCCCAGGGAAACACGCAGTTCCTCGGGCCCTCCTGGACCCTGGACAGTTCCACACTGCAGGACTCACGCTTCAGGGGTGTGGGGTGGGGAGCAGGAGCCCTCTGGCATCAGTCACAGGCAGACGGCCGGAGGCGGGTTATGGTGTCAGGGAGGTGTCAGGTTGGGTCCATTTTGGCAAAACAGAAATCCCAGAGGTCACCCCAACAATCCTCCCTTTCAGGAAAACGCAAGTTCAGGGGCCGATGGGAAGTGGGGCGGGATGGGGACAGGAGGGAGTTGAATGGGGCAGCAGGGAGGAACAGTGGTGCGGGGCTGACGGAGTGACAGAAACATTTCCTGGCCTGGGGGCAGAGGGGACCGACGCAGGCAGCCTGGCAGCCACCGGAGCCTCCCAACCGGTGCTGCTTTCCAGGTGGTTCTTCAGGTCCATCAGCCGGAAGGAGGCTGAGCGGCAGTTGCTGGCCCCCATGAACAAGGTCGGGTCCTTCCTCATCAGGGAGAGTGAGACCAGCAAAGGTAAGCGGTCTGATAAGCTGGTGACCACCTGCCCAGGGGTCCCCAGGGAGCACCCACAGAGGCTGGCCTGGGGTTGTTGAGCCTGGCACCTCCCGCCCTGGCTGCCTCCGCTGTTGGATCCTGGGCAGGTTTTGAGGCTGTCCATGCCAGTGGCTCTCTGGTCACCCAGGCCGGACATATCTCCCAGGTGCCAGAGGTGGGGGCCCCACAGCAGCCTGGCCGCACAGCGGGAACGAGGAAGCCGGTGGGCGCCCAGTGGGGGCTTTGAATCAAAGGATTTGGGAGAAAACCTTACCGGTCACCTCAGCCAGAGGCTGACGGTGACACAAGTGTGGGAGGCGGCCTGGGCCTGGATGTGAGGGGGTGACAGTGTGGAGAACTGAGGAGACCAGGTGCAGCTCCCCGGACTCAGGGCCTCAGAGACTCAGTCAACTGTGCTTCATTTCTCTCTTTCTTCGTCACTTAGCTGCGTGACACAACTTCCTAATGTCCTTTTAGTTGTAAAACAGAAAACACACATAAAGCATGCGTAAATTATGGATACATAATTATATGAGGTGTGGTAGAAAACTAGAGTGAATGTCCAAATTTTTTTTAAAAAACTCTGTTACAGTAAAGAGCACACGGCCATTAATTCCCCTCAAAATCCTCCCCCGTGCTTTGAAAATATATATCCCATCATTCCTGCCACTTTCCGAAGCAGCTCTGGCAGTCTTCTTTCATGAGTGTCTTTAGTTGCGCTGTCACGGCTGCCTCTGTGTCCTCAGCTGATTCAATACGTTTACTTTGCATGGTCATTTTGACTTGGGGCAAGACCCAGAAGCCACTGTCCAGTGACAGATCCAGTGAATAAGGTGCACGAGGACACACATCATAGTGTTTTTCTTTGATAGAAATTGCTCTACAAAGGTGATCAGTTCAATGTGATCAACAAGTAGGACAAATGTTTAAATTTAAAAGCTGATGACAGTAAAAGACTGCCATTAGTTCCCCTCAAAATACTTAAAACACTCTCCCTCACTTTGGACATTTTTATCCAATTGGTCTTGGTAGTGTGTCTTTTACTCGTAGTAAGATTTTAAAAATGTAACATTTGCTATATTTTTCAGTCTCTCCTTGTAAATCAGGGAGTACTGGGAAGTGAATCCCTATGTAGCCATGGCCGAGAGACAGAACCCTGTGCACCCTCCTCCTCCTCCTGGTCCCTCCTGATCAACCCGCTCCCTGAGAAGTGACCATTTCTCCCTCTCCTGAACAGGCTCATCCGCCATGTCTGTCTGCTTCCGAGCTAGACACACATGCAACCTATTTCTTTGTGTCTTCTTCCACCCAGGGTCGTGTGTGAGATTCCGCATTATCAGTCAGGGCCGCTGTCTCAGGTACCACCAGCCAGGTGCCATCAGCAACAGGGTATATGTCCTCCCGCTCAGGTGCTGGCAGTGCTGGGTCCTCCTAAGGGCTCTCTCCTTGGCTTCGCACCTCCTTCTCCCTCCCATGTCCTCCCGCGTTCATCTCTCTGTGTGTCCGTGTCCTAATGTCGACCTCCTATAAATATGCATTCCTACCCTAATCTCATTTTGCCCTTATTACCTCTGTAACAACTGTCTCCAAGCACAGCCAGGGACCAGGGCTTAGGATGGCGGCATGTGAATCTGGGGAAAGGGAGGGCCTAGTTCATCCCGTAAAAGATACATCGTGAGCTGGGAATGGTGACAGGTTATGACATTGTTGTACAGAATCCAGCATGAGTATATCACTGCTGCCCAGCCATTCCAATGTGGGGGACAGTGGCGTCCAGAGGGAGGTTGCTAAGAAGGAGCTGCTCTGAGCCCGACTCTGTGTGTGCCCTGGTACATCCTCGCCACTGTGAGATACCAGCCCAGTACCCCTCTGACGGGTGAGGAAACAGCCTGAGACAGGAAGTGACGTGTCAGAGCCCAGAGTGTTGGTAGCCATTCATGGAAGAGGTTCAGAATCTCCACAAGCTGAGGACTGTGTCAACCTGAGGTGATCAGGGGGCCTTCCCAGGCTGTGTCTAAAGTTTTCATCCATCAGGAGGGGACCCGCTTCAGCGGTGACATTGGAGGACGGGGAGACCGAGTGGCCAGAACTTAAGTTGGGTTCCCTGTGGTAGGGCAGTGGACAGAGGCTTCGTGTGACCTAGAACAGCCGCCAGAGCAGCAGGAGCTGGGGGCAGAGTCCCACTCACACACTGGGAGGCCCTCGAGGCCAGGGCCAGGCTGGGCTGGGTGTGCCCGGGAGGCTGGGGTGCTCTGTGTGGGATTTCCTGAAAGGCACCAGCAGCAGTATTACATTTCATACGAAGCCCGGTGTGCACTCCACACCACACTTTATGTGCAGTTAGGGTCCTGCTGCTCCTGTCTTCTCGGCAGAGCACCTCTGCCTGAGGAATAGTGGGGGAGTCACTGGACAGGACATAAATATTCTGTGAGTCTAGGACACTGCAGACGCCTTTCAAAGTGGAGAGACTGGAATAGCAGAACCCCTGTGTCCAACCCGCAGCTCCAACCGTTACCAGCGGGCTAGCATGCTTTCTTTGTGTCCCAACTCCGCCCCTGTTCTCTGGAGTCAGCTATCAAACCACTTCACCCGGAAGTGCATCTGTACCACCGCTTGATGCTAAGGTGCCTCTAGAGGCCACGGATTTCTCCTGTCCTTGCCCACGCCAGGAGGGGGTCCAAGCCAGGAACCAGCCCAACAGACCTGGGGGTGCGGACTGCGTGAGCACTGTCACGTACTGCACACACAACGCGCACATGCAGGCACACAACGTTCCCAAACAAAGCCCTCAATGTGCATCACAAAGCCCCAGCCTGCGGAAGCCAGACAGGCGAAGAAGCTGCCCCAGAATCCCCGGGGCTCCCATTTATTGGTGTCTGTGCAGGGACCAACTGGTTTCCCAGTTCAAAGACAGGCAGATCCTCCCATGTTAGGGAATCTGAACCTAGGAGAGCCACGAGGCGCATGCTGGGGGCCGCCCGGGCGCATGGAGGAAGGGGCCCAGCTTCTGTAAACCCGGAGCTGAGGGGATGAGGAAGTGCAGGGATGGAACCTCAGAGAAGCCCGGCAAGGGAAGGCCTCGCGCCTGAGCTGCAGCTGTTCCTCCCGCCCCACGGAGGGCAGTGGGGCTCCTGGACTCACCGCGACGCAGCTCACACACTGCAGCCTGTGAAAAGGGGCTTAAAGCTCTTGTGCCCACCACGGCGATGGCAGGATGCAGGAGCCCACTGGAGCAAGGTCCTCAGAGCCAGCGGACACGGCTGTACCAAGCTGGGGCCCGATGGGGAACAGCCTGCAGCACGGGGCTTGGGGCCGGGGTTGGGAGCCCGCGGGTGAGGTGAGGCGCACCGTCCCTCGCCATCCTTTTGCAAATAGGTAGAGAGATGCGCCTTGCAGCAGAAGATGAGAGAGGAGGTGGAGGTTCTGTGCTCCAGACAGGGCGGGGAAAATCAAGCGTCTATCGGGGAGAAAGAGGTGTCCGAGCCTGACCCCTGGCGGGCGAACATGGTACCGCTCCTGGTAGGCGCGTCCGTGGGCAGCTAACTTGCAGTGACCTCGGGCTCCGTGTCCCCACCCCCCATATAAGAGTTGAGAAGAGGGAGTGTCCGTGCTACCCGGTGAGCGGGCCAGAGACATTTTATAAAAGCACCAAGGCCATGGAGAGGAGTTTCTCAGCTGGAAAATCTCACCCCCTAAGTTGTTCTTAATCCTTGGCATCTGCTTCAGCTGCGTTCAGGCAAATCATGAATGCAGAGGACAAAATGCACACACGTGTGTATGACAAGCAGTTGAATGTGCACAGGCCCTGGGAAATGGCTTGCTTTGCTCCCGGTCACAGTGCTGACACTGATTCGCCACCTGCTGGGGTGGGGGGTTTCCAGCCTTCACCGCCAGCAAAGTAAATAAAGCTCGGAGGCCACAAGTGACCCCACATTTCTTAATCTCCCATGGCAAAGGGTGGGGAGTGACCAGGCCCATGGGGCCCCACGTGACTGCTGGGAGACTGTCCCACCTGCTCATGGTCTCCTGGCTGCACTTGGGGGACTCAGGGGCCAAGTTTTTGGGTGGAACCAAGCGGGGCAGGGGGGCCCTCAGGGGATGAGCATGAGATGCAGGAAAAAGAAACTCACACTGGCAGTGGCAAAAGTGGAGCACAGAATTTGGGGAACTTCATCCCAGAGATGGATTCTTCCTGTCGGTGCCTGACATCTGTGTGTTCTGTTACTGCTCTAGGGTCCTTCTCCCTGTCCGTGAAGGATGTCACTGCCCAGGGGGACATGGTCAAGCACTATAAGATCCGCTCCCTGGATGAAGGGGGCTACTACATCTCTCCCCGGACCACCTTCCCCTCCCTCCAGGCCCTCGTGGAGCACTATACTGGTAAGAGGGGTGTCTCTGGGGGCGGGGCTTAATTCCGAATTACGTGACTCACTGGGGCAGGGGAGGGTACTGCAGAACCAGACCTAAGAGGTCAGCACCTTTCAGCGTAGTGACTCAGTCGGTGGCCTCAGCCCCTCTCCTGCTCATCGTGGGACCATTGCACAAGGATTTTCAGTCTTTGAGAGAGCAGGTCAGGGACAGCACACCCTGTTTAATGCAAAATGAACAGATAGCCAGGCATGGTAGTGCACCCCTGTAATCCCAGCACTCAGGAGGCTGAAGCAGGAGGATCGTGGTGAGTTTAAGGCCTGCCTGCACTACATAGCAAGATTGTGTCACAAAACCAAAAGAAACAAAAGCAAATGAACAGAAAGGGCCCCGGATGTGCGTGTGTGTGAGTGTGGGCTCGGGTGCCAGGGGATGTGGCTGGGGGCGGCGCGGCTCCCAGGGGAAGTTTGGCCGCCCTGGTGCCCTCCAGCCCCTCTTCTTCCCGATGCAGAGAAAGGGGACGGCTTGTGCCAGAGGCTGACGCTGCCCTGTGCGACCCTGGCTCCGCAGAACCCCTGGGCGCAGGACGAGTGGGAAATCCCCCGGCAGTCTCTCAGGCTGGTGCGGAAGCTCGGGTCCGGGCAGTTCGGCGAGGTCTGGATGGGTGAGTGGTGGCGTCCCCGGTGCCGTGGGCCTGGCCTGAGTCCTGACTTGAACGGGCGACCATGGAAGCCTGGCGAGGGAAAGCGGTAGGCAGCGCTGAAGGTGCCCGTAACCTCGCCATGGTGGGAAGACAGAGCCCAGCTTGCCCGGCCCCCAAGCCCCGGGGCTTCTCTGCCGCCTCTGCCTGACTCCTGTGGCCTGACAGGCTCTCAGCCCCAGAGCCTAAAATATGGTTTGATTTCAGCCCTGCTTGGTCCACGTCTCTGGGGTGCAACTTCTGGGTGGACCCTGATGCCGCCTGGAGGTGCCTCTGGCAGGCGCTGCAGCTGGGTCCCCACCAAGATCCTGCCCTCCAAGGGCAAACCTGAGTCACTGTCACCCTTTAGTGGGGCAACCCCCCTCCGTAAATCTGCCTTGGCCTGCAGGGCTGGGATTCCGAGGAGGTTGAGACAGGCCTGCACCTGGCCCGAGGTGCGCCCCACGTCCGCCACCCACAGCACATGCATCTACTACCAGCTACCGTCCCTCGGGACCGGAAGCCCAGGTCAGATCAGCGCCCAGCATCTGACGGCTCCTCCCTCCTTTCTCCTCCCTGCGTAGGTTATTACAAAAATAACGTCAAGGTGGCCATCAAGACCTTGAAGGAGGGAACCATGTCCCCCGAGGCCTTCCTGGGTGAGGCCAACCTGATGAAGACCCTGCAGCATGAGCGGCTGGTCCGTCTCTACGCTGTGGTCACCAAGGAGCCCATCTACATTGTCACGGAGTACATGGCCCGAGGTGGGGCTTGCGGCTCTCGGCTGGGGCGCGAGCCAGCAGGGTAGAACGGCTGTGGCAGAGCCAGTTCTGGGCTCTGCAGCAGAGCAGCCTGCACTTCCGGTGGGCGTTGTCTGCGATATCACACGAGGGACGGGGCATGGACAGAGCCAAGGGCTGGGCATCCAGCAATGGTTCTGGCTCCGGTTCTGCCCTTCCCCGCACAGGCCTTTTACAAACACGTGACTCTCCCAGCTCAGGGGCCAGAGAAGCCCCTGGTGTCCTCAGGGGCAGCGGGTTGGAGTTGGGCCTCAGCCTTCGCCCGCCTCCCCACGCTCCAGTGTCCCTGGTCACACCCTGCTCCGGTGGGGCCTTCACGTGGCCGTGATAGCATGGCAATCGTCACCGGGGGCTGGGTTGTGGGAGCAGAGCCTCTGTGGCAGCGCGGTTGGAGGCAGCAGGGCATATGCATGGGGGCGTCATGCTGGCACAGGAGCAGAACCCAGAGCCAGACCAGGCCGCTCCCAGTGCCCTGGGGGGGAGACCTCACCCGGGTCCCTGCACCCAGCTGGGACATAACTTGTGGGCCCCTGGGGGCCGCCCCCCGGGCAGCGGAGTGAGAGTGGGGGCAGAACGGCTGAGGGGTGTAAGGTGCCAGCAGCTGAGGTGGCACCTGCCTGGCCACCAGAGAGAGGGACGCCCCTTCCTGTGGGGGCAGAGTGCCGCCGCCTTCCTGAAGGCACTGGCACACTCTCTTCTAGGCTGCTTGCTGGATTTCTTAAAGACGGATGAAGGCAGCAGACTGTCCCTCCCAAGACTGATCGACATGTCGGCCCAGGTTGGTGACGTGAGCCCGGGGTCGGGGGGATGATCCTCCTCCGAGCTCGCAGCTTGACTGCATCCCCGGGAGAGGTGTGCTGCTCAGAGCTAGGCTGCCAGCGGGTCAGAGGGCCCCGAGGGCCGGCGGCTTGAGTGTAGCTGTCAGAGGTGGGCAGACAAGTGCGCTCGGGTGTGAGCTTGTCTCTCCCTCACGTGGCGTCACACGCGCCTTGGGTGGGGGTGCCCTGCACACACTGCTCCTGTCCCGGGTGAAGCGGGACATCGAGGACCCGAGGACCCCCGGGTCCCAGAACCCTAGTCTCAGTGCAGCCCTGGGCGAGCCCGGCCTCGGGGAGCGCAAGCTGCATGCCGCCTCTGGGGCGTCTCTTCCGAGCCCCACTTCTACCATCAGGCTCCTGACCTCTGGGCTGCCCTGGACTGGCCCCTGGCGTCCCCCGGGCCCCCCCGCAGGGCTCTGCAGACTGAGGGGACAGCCACAGGCCAGGGGCCTTTCCTCCCGGGGATGTGGCTGAGGGCTCTCCCGCAGGAAGCACACCGGTGGCCTGCGTGTGCATCTGTCACAACCGGAGCTCTCCGCAAGAAGGCTGCGGTCCGCGGTCAGCATGTGAGACACACACGCACACTCACTCACACTCACACTCACACTGGGCAGCACAGGGGCCGCCCGCACCTCCCCACCCTGCCGGGCGCTATCTGCCCAGGGTATCGGTGCAGGAAGTGAGGTCACCGCCATTTTCCACTGAGCCGGGCGGAGACACAAGGCATCGAGCTGAGGAAAGCGTGGTCGCCGTTTCAGACCCCAGGACAGCGATAAGCCTAACGCCCTCCTCTCCCTTCTCCCTTTCCCCTCTCACCCTCCCATGCCCCTCAGTCCCCTGCGGCCCTGGGAAAGCTCGGGTCACCGGGAGCCAAGGAGCCAGAGTGCTTGGGCATGGGGTGAAGACAGCGGGAAATGGGGACCCCTCAGACAGCAGCTTCTGAGCCCCCTTCCCGGCACCCTGCACACGCACACGCACACACACACACACACACACACACACACACACACACACCCCAGTGCCTGCACACACCGCCCCGGGGGCTCTCCCCGTTCTGCTCCACAGGGCAAAGCGCAGAGTCCCCGGGTCGCTTCCTGAGCGGCGCCTGTGCTGACACCAGCCACCCTTCCCCCGGCCCAGGGGGCCGAGTCCCCCTGGCAGATTCCCGGTGGGCGCTGACTGGAATCCCGAGTCACTCCTGCTGAGGTTTTGGGCAGAGGAGGAGGAGGCGGAGGCACCTCTCCATTTCCTGCCTCAGTTTCTTCACCACCAGTGGGAGAACAGCCTCAGTCAGAGTCCTGGGCTGAAACGCTCCCGAGCAGCTCCAGGGAGCCTGGCTGCGCTGGGCATGGGGACAGAGGCGAGGGCCCTTTCGGGGAGCTCCAGGGCGCGCCTGGATTCTGAGCAACTGCCACGGGCAGGTGCAGGGTGAGGGCCTCGGCCATTTGTCGCCTCACTGGACGCTGGTGCAGCTCTGGCCTGGACAGCAGCCCCTGCACTCGGGGTCAGGACCATGGCCACCCGGGACTGTGCCAGCCAGGGTTCCGCACTCCGGGGAGAGGGGCCTCCCTTCCCTGCTCCCTCTGCAGAGACAGCCTTGCCGCTTGGACACACTACTCCTCCCCTGCCGTCCTGTCCTCGGGTGTGGGTCGTGGAGAGGGTGGGGACAGGAGGAAGGGGACAGGCAGCCCTGCTCCCTGACAAAGGCATCTCCCCCACCGCGGGCTTCTGGGCCGACCCAGCCGATGACACCTTCCCCTTCCACCCAGAACTGGCTCCTCCCCCCCTGCACCCTCGGCAGAGCAAACCCCAGATTCCCCCAGACTCCACGCCGTGCCATCCTTCACTGTGTGTCCCGTTCCCGCAGGTGGCCGAAGGGATGGCGTACATCGAGCGCATGAACTCTATCCACCGCGACCTGAGGGCGGCCAACATCCTGGTGTCTGAGGCCTTGTGCTGCAAGATCGCGGACTTCGGCCTGGCCCGCATCGTGGACAGCGAATACACGGCCCAGGAGGGTGAGCAGAGCCCCCGCCACCTCCCAGCTCTGCGCAGCCCTCCAACTTCACAGGCTTGGGGAAGGGGCCCGAGGTCCCCAGCTGCCACTTCCTGAGAGAGCTGGCCGAGGAGAGGGCTGGACCTCCGTGGGAGGGACCCCGTCAGGAGGCGGGCCGGGAGCCTGCAGCCCCTGGCCCTTGGGCCCTGGAGCCTGCAGTGCTACCCGCTCAGGCAACGCTGGGACAGCCTGCGGCAATGCGCGTATTTTCTTCCGCATCTCCCACACGGATCCTGTCCAAAGACTTTTCCCACTGAGCCCTTCTAACCTCCTGCTGAGGTCAGGCTCCACAGAACTCACCTTAGAAAACCAGGCTCTAAAGTAAAAGCAACAGACCCTCGTACGTAAATCAGGGTGCAAGGAGCGCTCCGCTCGGCTTCCTTAACGTAACCCAAGAAAATGCACCTAGCAAGCGAGCAGGCAACCAGGTGTACTAAGCCCTACACGGGTGGGGAGCACCCGAGTCCCGTCTGCTGCAGATCCCAGGGCCCGCACTGCTCAGGCACGTGTCCCACAGAGGCCTCTCTGCCCTGGCCACAGCCAACCTGGCAGGGGCGAGGCAGGGCGTGGGGGGCCAGGCGCAGCCTCACGGAGCTGCCGACTGTCCTGCAGGGGCCAAGTTCCCCATCAAGTGGACCGCCCCAGAGGCCATCCACTTCGGGGTGTTCAGCATCAAAGCAGACGTGTGGTCCTTCGGCGTCCTCCTGATGGAAATCGTCACCTACGGGCGTGTGCCCTACCCAGGTAGGCAGCTGCCTGGGGGTGGTGGAGCTGCCCCTCGCTCAGGAGAAAATGCACGGCCTCATTTTTGGCTCTTCTCCACAATAAAAAGTAAATAAACCGAGCATGATGGCCTACAACTGTAATCCTAGCATTCTGGGAAGCTGAGGCAGGAGGATCGCAAGTTCAAGCCCAGCCTGGGCAACTTAGCCTGGACCCTGTCTCAAAATAAAAATGTAAAAAGGAGTAGTGGGATAGAGCTCCTGCCAAGGCCAGGCAGGTGGCCCCCCAGGTGGAGTCCAGTCTGAGCCGCCCTCCTGTGCCTGTCCCCCACCCCGCAGGCATGAGCAACCCCGAGGTCATCCGCAGCCTGGAGCGCGGCTACCGCATGCCGCGCCCGGACACGTGCCCGCCCGCGCTGTACCGAGACGTGATCTCCGAGTGCTGGCGCGGGCGGCCCGAGGAGCGGCCCACCTTTGAGTTCCTGCAGTCGGTGCTGGAGGACTTCTACACGGCCACCGAGGCCCAGTACGAGCTGCAGCCCTAGCGAGGCCCGCGCCCACGGAGGGACAGAGTGGGGCCCGCAGGGAAGGGGCGGCCGCGGGGCGGCGCCGTGTCCGTGTCCGGGGGACGCCTGTGCACCTCGCCTCGGGGGTCCCCGGCCGCTCCGTGCTCGGCTTCGCCTCTGTCGCGTGGGGGCAGCGAGCGAGGACTTAGCCCAGCACTCGCCGCGCACGGTGGCTGCCGGCGTGTGAGGCCCGGCTGCGCCCCAGCGCCCTGGGCCTCCTCCGCAGGCGAGTCCGGGAGCGCGCCCTCCGTGTCACTGCGG